TTACATCCGTTATAATATGGTTGAATAAAATTGTGCAATTTGATTGGCTTAGAGGAGTGGTATTTATCCTTAACAGTGGTATTTCAAATTGCACAATTTTAGAGTGGTTTTCATAAACCCGTGAAACAAAGTGTAATAATTAAGTTAGAGGAGTGGTATTTATCCTTAACAGTGGTATTTCAAATTGCACAATTTTAGAGTGGTTTTCATAAACCCGTGAAACAAAGTGTAATAATTAAGTTAGAGTGTAATAGATCGTAGAGACAATAAAAAACAAAAGAGCCAAAGTGTAATAGCGATAAATACGCTAAAGTGTTTCGCGGGTTAATGAAAACCACTCTATTCAACCATTTTATTAACAAATAATAGCATGTTTTGCACGTAGAATTTGGGATAAATACCACTTGTGATATTTCAAAATCGTCACAATTTTGAAATATTACGCGTGGTATTTATCCCAAAATACCACTACAAAATAGCTATTACCAATACGAATTTCTATCTAATTTCCGACGGAAATTAGATCCGAGAAATTCCGGATGTAACACAGGCTATGATTTTGCTCTCCTGTTTTTTTTTTTTTTTGTTTTTTTTCTTTTGCTTTTGTTTTTTGCTTGTGATTATTATTTTTTGATTTTTTATTAATTTGGAAGATTAATGTTTTAGGAAAAAATTTCGACGTTTCGACAAATATTTTGGCACATTTTTGTTCCTTTTTGCAGCACCCCTTGGACAGTTTACGAGGCCCGACGGACCACACCCACACTCCAAGAGTGTGGCCTTGAACATGTGTTCTGATGAAGAAAGAGAAAATTTAGAAGGGGTAATCTTCTGTCGTTCGTTTGAGGAACGAGCGACAGAATATTACCCCTGGGTTCCCGAGGATTATTCAAACACCAGTTGACAAAAGCTTTAGCGAACATGTCATTGTCAGCAATTCTTGCATCGATTTTTTCGAACTGATATTTGGTAAAAGTACAGCCAATCAATAGTGTGCTTCACATTGAATTTTGTTACCGAGTAAACATTTCAAATATCTTAGTCATAAAAACAATGCAAGAATTATTTGAATTGTATATCAAACATCTTTTAAATTTTCTTGAATATGTACATCATAATTCCATTACTGTAAAGTTCATAAGATGTGACAGCAAAGTCATTTGCATATATCGTTTTTAAGTAATGCCCCGAGTAAGAACTAGGGAAGCAAACGGCACAGGAATGCAAGAAGGTGCTAATTGCGCATTGTATAATCCATCCATCCCATTGGTTAAAACATGAAAATCTGCTATAATTTCCCAAGTTATCAAATTTTCTAATATTATATTTAATGTCGTTTTTCGCTTTCATGAAAGCTTTCTTTAGCTTCAATATTAAGGCAATTCTATGTGGGGAACATTGCAAATTAGAAGCATCTTTTAGCTATTGTTTTGAGTGCTTATGATTGGATAAGAGCTTTTAATACAAAAGAAACTTTGTTTCAAAATAGAGTTTATCCACATTTTATTTCAAAAATGTGTTACCCACAAATGGATACATAATCAGTGTGAAAACCAAGACATTCGTACATGGGGAACTTGCTATGCCGCACAACAATAGAGAGCTCCCTAGTTCTTACGCGCATTGTTACTTAATT